AATATTTTTAATTTTTATTGTTTTTTTACATGTAATATTTATGTGTAAAACGTCATAATTAGAGCTCGGATATTAATGACCAACATTTTATTAAAATATGCATTTAAAAAAGTCAAAATATGCAATTTATGCAATTTATGCCATAAACTATATTAACTATACTCATTCTCAACAAAAATGTGCTAAAAAAGGGTAAACATCAACTCAAATAAAATTATGTACTCTTTTATCAATGTGTGATTAAAATTATTTTATTACAGTTAAAAAATACACAGAATATTATGAAAAAATGATTAATTAGTGTTCGATCAATTAGATCATACATGTATGTATATGTAAATGTATAACCAATTCTTAATAGCGTCTCCCTATAATGGACATTTGGTAATTTGTCGCAAATGTCCACTATGTAGATTGTAGAGGTCTTCTCGATAGTGGATAACTCCCTATAGTGGACATTTTTTAATTCCCTATGCCTATCCACTATAGAGAAGTTTCATAGTACTATACTTACGTATACTAACACGTTAGATAATTGGAAGATTTTTAAAAAACACACATAATTGTTCAGAAATAATTGTAATAAGAAAAAAAATTTTAAAAAGTAAAATGTCTTAAAATAGCTCAAAAAAAGTTAAATTATTTTGAAAATTATACTATGCAACAGAAAAATATGTTATTCAAACATTTGGTGAAATTACTACTTAGTATATTACAAAGGTACCTATTCAAACTGTGTGTCACAGCTCCCAGGAGCATCTCAAGTATTGGCTAAGGGAGCTGCATCAAAGTACTGGAAACCAACATTAATGTTAGTCTTGTAAAATAAATATAACCCAAAATATCAATTAGATTTTACTTTTTTATCAGAAGAAATGCTGAAAAAAGCGGGTAAGTCGTGGATGTCGCTCTGGCTCTGCTGTACAGTAGGTTACTGTAATGGATGGGATTAAATTTGAATGCAATGATAGGTRTCATTGTGTATACGAAAAACRATTCTGAGCGGAGATGGTTTATCTGTCTAGGATATATTATATTTAAATATTGTCATATATTCTATTTTGAAACAAATATTTTATTTTTCAATTAAGACGCATTTTGCATAAGGCATGGTTAATCAATTATAGTGTAGTTATCATAATTCATAATACCTTATATTATCATAGATATACAAATACCTGGTTTGAGGATAAATCGTTATCATTACG